AAAAAAATTATATCCTAATGCATCGCATGGGTTCCCGCTAATATATTTTCATAACTATATTTACTAAAATATAGCATGAACCATGAAAGAAATGATAAGCATGATCCATGCCTAACGCATGAAATTAAATCAGAAGTGTTCCGTCTAGCTAGGGAACCTGATAGCCAGACCATCATTGGTTGTAAGTTCCTCATTTTGTAATGAACTCCTTAATCCCTAGTTTAATCAAGATCACTTAACATAAAAATTCAAACAAAAGTTCTTAATCTTTAGATCATAGAACAAGGAAAAGAGGAATAAAAGGAAAATAAAAGGGAGAAAGAAAACGAATGCACGCAATTATATAGACTGTGTATAATGATGATAATAATAATTCCTAAAGCTCACTCCATGTGCCATAGTTGTCAGGAACGATAAGTAGGGCTATCAGCTGGGTCGGCCATTGGCCTGGCCCAGCAACAGTAACGTAGACAAAATAATAATTAATAAGAAAGTATTGGGCCTATTGACCACTAAATGGAGCCAACTTGCATAATAAGCCAACTAATTACAGACAATATGGGTGCCCATTTTAAGTTTAAAAATATATTTTTTTAGGTCAAAGTCAAATACGTAGTGCCTGTATGGAGTCAAAAGCAAAAAGCAATATCACGATTCCAAACGCAAACACCGCCTAAAAAGTAAAAATACAAAGCAAAAAAGCAATATCACTATTTTATTTTGACTAACAAGTAACAATTTATGTAGTACAAAATCATTACATCTATAATTGTTTATTATAACCAATTCAAAGTATTCAACGTGTTGGAGATACTGAAAACTAATACGTATTGTACACTATACACTAATAAGTTGCGATACTTGAACCTTGGCCATATCTGAACTTGGTTCTATTACCAAAATTCTTTTATTGATTTTGATTCAAAATTTGATTGGATCTAACGATGTTGGATCAAATTTAACACAATATACTAAATTTCCACGTGGAAATAATGGGACTCAGAATCCGCGTTTCTACTGTGACTACTCAGCTAACATGCCATCCGAGCCACCACTCGGCGATTGATGAGTCCAATAATCATATTTTTTTTTTGTCTTTTGTTTAAAATATAAGGATAAATCTCTTAAACTATCCCTACGATTTAGCTAATTGATACGTGGTACCTTTACTGTTTAGCTATTGTCTTACGGTATCCTTAAATTTTCTGACAATTGTCTAAGTCTTCCCCTGCCGCTACTCGACCGTTGGGTCCTGTTTGCATGTGACACCATGTGATTGATAAATTTGTCCATAATTCCCAAACTATCATTTTACAGTCAAAAATACATTTTTGGTTTTAGCATTGGAACTGCGGTGTAGGGCTCACTAGCGTCTTGTTTCTAGTCACCAGCACTGGACCATTGTTTGTCAGCATTGGCATCGTCAGTGTAGCGGTGATAAAACAGGGGTGAAAGGGAATGGGGGGAGAGAGAGAGAATGAAGGGGACGAAGAGAGAAAGGGAGGGAGGGAGCCCTTCGCCAGTGGCTGTCATTGCCTGCGACGACTATGCTGAGAGGGAGAGAGAACGGCGATTGTGCCTGCGATGAGCCGTTCGTTCTCTCTCCCTCTTGGCAAAGCCATCACAGGCGACGACAGCCACCGATGAAGGGCTCCCTCCCTCCCTCCCTCCCTTTCTCTCTTCCTCCCCTTTGTCAGAGAGAATGGAGGAGAGAGAGACCACCCAAGAGGCTCCCATGACTAGGGGTGGCAATGAGCCGAGCTTTTCACAATCTGCTTGAGCTCGGATCGGCTCGGTTTCAGTCGAGCTTGAGCCTACTAGAACTCAGCTCGTGAGGCTAGCGAGCCGGCTCGAATGTATATATATATATATATATATATATATAATTATAGAAAATAATATATATAATAAAAATATTATAATTATTAATTATTATAATTCTTAATTTTTTAAATATTAAATAAAAATATTTATATATTATTTTTATAAAACATTTTTTCTCAAAATCGAGCTCGAGCTGAGCCGAACCGAGCCAAGCTCGAGCTTATGAATTTTTTACTCAAGCCAAGCTTGAGCTTGATCCTTGTAGAATAGTCTCAAGCTGAGCTCGAGCCTCGTACTATTCAACTCAGCTCGACTCGAATCCACCCCTACCCATGACCACGCGAACAATGAAACAAACGTGATCCTTAACAGCCGTTGTTGAAATCGTCAGAGTGATCCTTAACAGTACCGCTATCACCACCTGAGAGAAGAACATTTGGACTCTAGTTTCAAGAGATGGTTTTCTATAGAAAATGAGAGTTAATGGAAAGGTAAAAACATAAAATTAAATTTTCCATTCCGATTTAACAACGATGACGATTGTCAGAAAACTTAAAGGTATTGCAAGACAATAGCTAAACAATAAGGGTACCACGTGGCAATTAACTAAACAGTAAGAATAGTTTAAAAAATTTACCCAAAAATATAATTTTATTAACTTAGAAAGAAAGAACTGATAAGCTATTATAGAACCAAGAAGGCCAAAGATAAACCACGAAGCCCTAGGTTTTTTGGGCTAAGGCAAAGGAAGCGAGCCCATGGGCTGTAGCATTAGCTCTCATAATATATTAGTGAATCAGATGTCTTCAAAGGAGGGAGCAAGTGCCTAATATCCTCGAGGATGACTAAGTGAGGGTTGAAGTTGAGAATAGGGCTGTTCAATGCATCAATAACAATCTTCGCATCTGATTCCAGAATAAGCTTTCGCACACCCCATCTCAAATTCTCAGATGATCCCTCACGGATGGCAAGGATCTAAGTGGAAAGGGCCGAAACAGCTCTACCAAAGGCCAATTTCACTAGAAGGGAACAACCATCTCAAATCATTATCATCAATCATTTAAGCGTTAATGCCTTAATAAGGTTTTTGAAATCAGACTGGACAGTGGGGATCGCTTTTCGGTTTGAATGGATGGTCTATTATGATTTAAAAGAATAAAAAAATAAAAATAGTCAAAACCGTTGTTTAGATCGACGGTTTAACTGCCCAAGTCAATGAATTATTGATTAAATCAACAGATTTTGGCTAAAAAGTAGTTTTAGGGTGAAACGAAACTGATTACCTGACCGATTCTTAGGTTTTCTGGTCTGATCCAGTTTTCAAAACCATGCACCTTAAATATTGTTAAATTATAAGTGCTTAAAACTGCTTTTTACCACTTCAACCCATGCCCTTTTCAGCTATTTCAACATGTAATTGCCTTCTCTTTATAGGTGTTGTAGATATATATTTATTCATTTGATTACCTGTTAGAGATACTCTTAAGTTCCTTCAGATGATTTAATTTCCAACCCCATAATTTCTATTTGAGACGGGATCTCTTGAAAGCCAAAACCATCAAACACACTAAAAACACAATTCGGTCAGTATACGCAGAAACAACGTATTGTGGCTTGATGGTAACATATAATTCTTTGTAAATTAAAGGTCAAGATTTTGATTTCCTTCATTTGTCATTTTACAATATAAAAATAAATGTTAAAGTATTAAACTTGGGCGATAGTTAAAAACTGGTTGGGCTACCAAAAACTTGTATGGATTTCAAAAGTTTGCTTGGTATAATAGTAGTTCAGAAGTTTTTTGTTTTTTTTTGAAAAAAAGTAAAAAACACTAAAAACCAGAAATTTAGAAATCGGATTGCGCTGCGATTCTCGAGTCTGATGGTCCAACCATTTAATCCGGTTCAAGTCTTACATCATTGGGTAGATCATGGGTGGAATAAGCCTGATCAATAGTGTTTTCAACGCGTTGTTTACCTGATGATAATCCCAATTTGGGTCAACCTCTAAGCCACTATATTCTAAAAAAATAAATTGATCCAGATGGTTGAGCCATCGATCCATCTAATCCGTTCGATAACATCATGTGATGTGATGATCAATTGACCCGACCCGAACAGTAAACTAAGCTGCTGCTCCATTGACCCAAATGAAATTCTCTGTTGGTCTGGCCAGATTTGACACGTCAGAGATATCAATAACGTGTCCATTTGCAACAACATATGCTTGTTAACACGTAGGCTGTATTTGGTTTGAAGGAAAAAGTAGGGAAATCTTTACAAACTTTATATTAGTTTCCCCAGCTTTCCCTAAATTTTCCTTCAAACCAAACATAGATCAGCCGAGCGTTTTAGGCTCTGTTGGGTTTGATGGAAAATAAAAGAGAAAGAGATCGGTTAGCAGCATCAAATCAATAGGTTTACTGATAGATAGATCAGCCGAGCGACCGGAGTCGGATTGGGCTTCGATATGCACTTCTTAAAACAAAAAGATAAACAAGCAGAAGCGCTGTTCCTGTTGCTCGGCATTGTTTATGGGCCTTCATGGGCCATGGAGGATAGCAGGGTTGTTGGACGAGAATCGCCAACGCGTTTTAGAGAAAATCATCTTATAAACTTCGTAGACTGGCCGTGGTAGGTAGGTGTTGAAAATATTGCAGCTCTACCCACTACGGCCCCCGACATTTGACCTGGCAGCTAACTCTCAGACATGGAAAGGAAACTAGGAATTAGCATGTATGCCATCAGTTTTTAGATGGTCAAGCGGGCAGTTCCCACGTGGATGATTCTTGATTCGTTTAGCTTTTTTCTTAATGACACGATTAACAAGTTCGTTGATCTGTCCCAAAGCTCGAAACATTGGTCACGCTGCAAGTTGTTAGGGCCCCAGTCCCCAGACCCCACTACATTGCACATTTGTCTCCTGTCTCAAGGGCCCATGGGCCCTGCAAACAAAACAAAATTTAAGAGTATAAAGAAAAGCTACTTCCACCGTTCCACGTCTAATGGCAAGTGAAAACCGAAGAAAACGAGAGTTCCAATCGCGACCTCTTATCTCGCATCTGATGGATAAAATAAAGGATACTATTCTGATGAGCGGTCCAGATTTCCACTTCATTTCTCATTGTAATGAAATTGTGAATTAGTCCAGAAATGATGGCTCTCTGGGAGGTATGAAATCGGGCTGTTTTTTATTTTTTTTTTCCCGACCTCTCTCTCTCTCTCTCTCTCTCTAGCTCTTCTCTCTGTGTTTCCCTTTCTGCATTCTTTTTGGTCTCTGGTTCGACAAATTAAGAATAACACTTCCATGGAGGCTAAGATAGCACCGTCGATGCTCTCATCTGACTTCGCCAATTTGGCTTCGGAAGCCGAACGAATGCTCCGATGCGGCGCCGACTGGCTTCATATGGATATCATGGTAACTATGATTATCTCATGCTTTTCATGTTTTGCAATCCATCTTTGAACAATATTTTTTCCCACTTTTACTAATATCTTGTGTTTCTTTTTTATGAACTAATATCGTTACATTTTTCGATGTTAACATGTGAATCACATTTGACTACATCTGGTTTTCCCCCTTCCTCTTAATCGTTCGTGAACAATTAACTATTTTTAAGTGTTTTCTAGAGCAAATTATCGATTCTATCATACTTTGTGAACACCAAAAGCTTATGATTTTTATAAATTGGGCATTCATAGTCAAGCTAATTTATATGCTAATATATATATATATATATATATATATATATTTATACTACTGGAGTTGCAATTACTTAAAAAATGGGCAAGGTAGCAGGTTTGCACTTTGAAATGGATTGCACCACAGATTTGATCCTGGGATGTGTTTCATAATGAATGTTAGTTAGACTAGCTTCCAATTTGAATTTTGCAACGTTTTGAAGGGATGGAGTCTAAACCGGTTGTAGATACCGGTGCTCAATTATGATTAAATATACCCTTTTGCATGGACTGGGCCTTTTCTGAACGATACCAGTTATGGTGAATTCCCAATTAGGCTACGAGTTAACCTTCATGGTTTATATGAACTTGGTCTTTTCATGGGAAACATAGACTTCGTTACTAAAAGCTTCATTTATCTGTTGTAAGAACTTATACTCATAAAGGTAGTAACTTTAGTATCTCCAAAATGAATATAGAAAGTATAGGATTAGAGAAGAAGTCATATGATGGATCCTAGGAATATCTCCAATAGCTGAAGTAGACTGAAGTGATCTGTTACAAGTAGAAGGGCTAGAAGAGCTGAGATTGGATTTCATCCTCACAAAATTAGTACTCACACCATCCTCACGACACTTGCAGCTGTGTATTGGGAACATCTCCGTACTTGTATGTTTTCATTCATGAGAAGATGTTCCCAATGCACGGCTAAAGTATTGTGAGGACAAAATCCGGATTCAGAAGAGTTAGGGGCAGACCAAAAAGGATATGGGTGGAAGTAGTAACAAATGATTTAAGTGCCCATAATTTCATTATTCATATGGCACTTTATGGAACAGAATGGTGAAACAGGATTAATGTAGCTGACCCCATATAGTTCATTGTCCTGTGACCCATTGTGCATATATTGAAATGACAATTAAATAGAATTTTTACCATTTCATATTCTTTGGTGATATACTATTTACTTTGATCTTGTATTTGTTTTCTCCATTCATAGTTACCTTTTCCCTTTTTGTTTGCAGGATGGGTAGGTCGTGCAGCTGTACTCATATTGTAACACCTTGACTTTTTATTATTACTTTGCACACTTTGAAATTAAGATGGTTACTGCATTTGGGTGCATTCAGAGTGCAAATGTTGTCATTCAAGGGTCATCTAGTAATATAGATACGGACCCTTTTCTCTCCTTAATGTGTTCCTAACATCTAGAATGGTAGAACTATGTGAAGTCATGTGAAACGATTCCTTTATGATATGAAAGCATTGCTCATAAAGGGTGCCAACTTACAGACATGCTATTCTTTGTAGGCACTTTGTTCCAAATCTTACCATTGGAGCCCCAGTCATTGAGAGTCTACGGAAGCATACAAGGTATTACACTTTCTTTCTTTTTTTTTTTTTCCCTTTTTGGTACTGCATTTTTGACATTAGGCACAATTATCCTTGCTGATAGGAAGTCCTCAAATTTTTATTAAAATAAGATTATGTTTACTTATTTTCCAGGGCATATTTGGACTGCCACCTGATGGTTACAAATCCTCTTGATTATGTGGAGCCATTGGGAAAAGCTGGTGCTTCATGTTTTACTTTCCATGTTGAGGCATCCAAAGGTGGATTATAACATTTTCTCTACCATTGCTTGAGGAGCATATCTCCTTATCTGTTTCTTTGCCATAAGTTCAGTGAATCATATCACAAATTATTGCAGATAATTGGCAAGAACTCATTAAGAGGATCAAATCAAGGGGAATGAGAGCTGGTGTGGCTTTAAAGCCTGGAACTCCTGTTGAAGATGTGTATCCCTTGGTATGTATTGCCCCCTTCCTGTATTTCATTTCATCTTGTGATTTCAGCTGACATCTTGGGTTGTCTAAGTCTGGATGAATGTTAATTTTGAGCAATAGCTTGCCTAAATTTAATACAAAACTATTTTCAAGTTCCTTATTGAATTTAATTACAATTGGATTATTTGAAAGATTTTTTCCAGGCAAAAAGTTATTAGATAAAAGGTGAAGGAGATATTCTACAAACAAAACTATGATTGAATGCCAAGATATTAAACAAAGCATCTTGTTTTCAAAAAATCTCTGTGATCCCTTGTTTTAAGTTGAAGAGATTGCATTTTAAGAGTCACCTTCAACCACAAATTTGATCAAGGATCTTGGGAAAAGACCTGAAAGAGGTCCTATTATTTGATCTTTTTTTATTTGTAAACTTGAATGGTATTTGTAATGATAGATATGCTTCTAATTTTGAATTCTCTAGATATATTTTTAAATCTTTGAACACAAAGACTGTCATGCTAAGGTTTTAAGCTTGACTTCATCTATGTCTTGGGAAATTACTTTGAGAATGGGAAAGTAAGGAGACCAAAACACTGATCTCCAGCAGCTTGATATGATTTATTCAAATTCTAGGCTATTAGCACCCTGGAACCATCTTTTTGAAATTTATTAGCTATGGTGGAAGGTTTAATAGAGTGGATATCAAAGATCTTTCTTTCTGTTTCTCCAAGTATCTATTAACTTGCTTACATGAAGTAATCTTCATTCAAAATTCAAAGCCTCCCACCCTTCACAAATAATATACAGTTTTTTTATCAATAACAGAATTTCATTAAATTAATATATAAGCAACAGTACAGCAATCAGAGAGAGTTAAAAAGGCTTAACACTCCCAAGAAAGCAACAACAAGCTCACAATACAGCCCAGTACAAATGAACCCTTCCCACACCCTGCTTTGCCAAAGCATCTGCAAAGGCAGTTGCTGTTCTTTTCACCCACTGAAACTGTATTTCCATCCTCCTAGTTAGCCACTTGATTTCCTTTCTTTCATTAGCGAACTTCCAAAGGCCACTTCCTCTCTGCAGCCAGCTCAACACCAACTTTGAGTCCCCTTCAATAATTAGTTTTTGTGTACTCAGTTCCTTACTCTTTCTAATACCTTCCAATACAGCATAGATCTCAGCTCTCAAAGAATCCCCAATCCCAATGGAGCCTGAATACAATGCCAACACTTTCCCCTCCTCATCTCTGAAGACACCTCCTACACCTGAAGGGCCTGGGTTACCCAAGCCGAATTGGCCACTTCCACCCAGCTATTCAACAACATATCAGTAGACACATAATCAAAAAGTTGCACAGATTTTAGCCAATGCACCACCCTAACTGTTATGGCTTCAATAATATACAGTTCATTGAGAGATTAAATGTAAATTGTCAAGAAATAACATTCAATGTGGCTTTATAAGTTAGAGGAGGTGATTTTGTAACCATTCTGATTCCGATTCCTACTGTGAACCAAATGGACCCTTAAAGACATCCATCTTCACTTGTTCTTTGGAAATGACAAATGGCCAATGTGTGGAGGGAGTTAGCTTAGTTTTTAAAGGAAGATGGAGGAGGAAGATTCCCACTATGCTAGAGCAATCTCCAAGGGGCTTTACCCAATGTTGGTCCTTGCTATTTGGGGTCTGGGAAGGATTGGACTGGATGAAGAAAATGATCCATCACCCTGAATTTGTGCTAGAGCAACCTATGCTCTAATAAAATGATGAATAATTTCTTTCTTTTTAAAGGTTAAACCACTTTATCAATCTCAATGTATTTATCAACTCCATAGAAAATTTGCATTCAAGACATTATGTCAGTGAGTGCCTGTAATATTGGGGAAGTCCATTTATTATAGGACATATGCTGCCATTTTTTATTGGAAATATATGTTGTCAATTAGGTTTCTGTATATATGTTGTCTGGCATTGCAGTTAACTGAGTTCATGGAATCAAAACTTGTTACTTTTATTGTGATACAGATTGAAGATGAAAATCCTGTTGAAATGGTACTTGTTATGACAGTGGAACCTGGATTTGGTGGTCAAAAGTTCATGCCAGAAATGATGGATAAGGTGCAGTTACTTGAGGGCTTTGGATTTCTTTGGATGAGGTCAGTTGATACCCCTGCTAAGACTAATAATCCCTTTTTGGATTTCTTTCATAACAGGTGCGTGCATTGAGGAAGAAATACCCTTCACTTGATATAGAAGTAAGTTGCTTGAGGGCTTTGACTTCAATGTTCATAGTTTGTAATTAAAATACCCGAGTTCCTTATGGCATAAAATATTATGTTTCAAGAATAAGCTTTATATTTTTATTGTGCATTTTGTGCTTTTGTTTCCTGGATAAAGAAATCATCCTCTTGGGAAAGAATGTAACTCAATTCAACTCAACTAGGTCTTACCACAAACTATATGGGGTTGGCTGCATCAATCCTATTCTGCCATTCTTCTCTTGTTTGGTTCCATTTTGTAATGCAGGAAGAAAGTCGGTTTATCATGTATTTTCATATGAAATTCTTAATTCTTAGTTCCTCCATTTTTTCCTGCATTTATAGAGTACAAGGAGTCAGATGATCAGAAAGGGGGAAACAGGAGATTCTAGTAGGCACCACGCCCTGCTGAGCATGCCCCACATGCACATCTCATGAGCATTGGGAACATCTCCCGTACTTGTCATGGGGAGATGTTCCTAATACACAGTTGGGATGTGCTGTGGGGCACCCATGCGAATTCATGATATAAGGGTTCTGATGTTATTCCCCAAGAGAACTGTTTTCCTATATCTCATAGCTTCAGGCATACTGTCACGGGGTTAATCATTGAGGCCCCGTGCGGCACTCGAATGGGGCAAGTAAGCCTAAGTAGCAAAGTAAACACACACAAAAAGGCAACAAGATGGCACGCGAATTAGCAAAAGGCTATTTGTATTGCATTCATAGATGGCAAGCACAAGCACACAGTTCAGTGTCGAGGGGATCTCGTGCTTAACCTTTACACGCTACTGATTCACTCGACTACCTACCTCCCCTCAGAGTACGTTAAGCTTTTGGGGGAGTGACATAAGAAAACATCAAAAGAGTGGAAAATCATACTAAGTAATTACAATAACGCCATTGGCGGTCTCCCCTTACAAGATACATACATAGCCCACCCATGACACACATGATGACACCATGAAGGCACGCTGTAGGCACCCTGATGGCACGACGGTAGGTGCTTGATGGCGCGGCGAAGAAGTCACTTGTGACAATACAGCATGAGTCCAGATCTGCTCCTCACACCAATCTCACAGCATGTCCTGGCCGCACATCGGGAACATCTCCCATAATTGTATTTATTATTTATTATTCATGGGGAGTGGGATGTGGCTGTGAGGTTGGTGTGAGGAGCAGATCCCAATTCATACAGCATCTGCATGTATGGTCTGGTTGGTGTTCCATCTTCTGACTGTTCCCAGCCAAGCATTTCTTTAAGTAGGTCATTCTCATAATCATCTTATAAACTGAGATGACAGATCCTGTTCATTTATTTTGCTCCAAGGCCATATGTTTTACAGAAAGGCGTGGTCAGAAAGTTGGAGAGTCTCTCACACATGGTTGTGCAGGTTGATGGTGGCTTGGGACCTTCAACCATTGATGTGGCAGCTTCAGCGGGGGCAAACTGTATTGTGGCAGGAAGTTCAGTTTTTGGAGCTGCGGAGCCCTCGCAAGTTATATCCCTACTAAGGAAGAGTGTGGAGGAAGCTCGTGGAAACAATTGATAATGATCTAGCAATCTGCAATGTTACTTCCGTCTTTGGTGATCGAACTGCCAACTAATAAGCTCACTGTGTGTACACCGTTAAGCTGTACAATATGCTGAAATTTTGAAAGACTAATAAAATGATTGGTATATTTGCTGATCCTGTTTGACAGTGTGAGTAAATGTTAGTGATTTATTTTCTTAAGACGTTGTGATGTATGGGTTTATTTACCAAAGAAGAAGTGATACATGAGTAATGAAAACAGATATCCAATGGCCAAAAGGTGGAACAAGTTTTTGCTGTACAGAGGCGAGGCCTTCATATGCTGGTCAGTAACCTGAAAGATTGGTATTTTTCTCAACCAGATTAAATGATGCCAATACTCCTTTAGTCCTTTAGTTGTTGCAAACTTGCAGGGCTATTTCTATTTGTTGTACATATTAAGGCAGATCCATCAAGTGGCCAGACATTATGTCCGTTCAGAGCCTCACGAATGCATCAACCAAAATGTGCTTGGATAATCAGTTCTATAATAAAGCCTCATCTTGATCAATTACATAGTTTGGACTTTGTACCGGGCAAGAAACTAATTGAATTCAAGTTCACTTTAGGACCATTGGTTGATGGAAATACATTATATCATTTCAGTTTAAGACTTTCTCATATACAGGACAGGAGACAGTTCAATCTGCTACACTTTTCTCCCCGTACTTGCTGCACTAACCAATCTGTACTGTACAGTACGGAAGGTCTTAATGACTGTAAAACTCAGTTAATCTCACATGTACAGTGTTGGGACCCAAATGCCTTCCCCGAACCCAACAAAGGGAGTGGAGCAGGTCACTGCCCATCAGCAGTTCTCAAGGAGGCAGAAAGGACAGGCGACAGAGCCCCAGAATTAGTTACACACAGAGTTGGTTATTCTGCCGTCAGAAGATATTCCCTCCATGATATTTTCCAGAGTTAGTTATCCTGCAAATCAGAGGATATTCCCTCTATGATTACACCTGTAGGCCAGCTATATAAGGCCATACTTTTATAATGAAAGGTGTGAATGAATATCCCCTGTTTTTCTCTCACTGAGTCCCTCTTTTCCTACCTTCCCTTCCCTTCTTCCTCTCCATTTCTGTTTCAGGAGGTTAAGCCACCCTCGAAGGGGCTTCCGAGGTGAGCGGTATCTCACCAAGTTGGTATCAGAGCAAGGTTGCAGACCAGCTATGCCGCAGACAAGATCCTCTACCATGRAAGATAGAGTCGACCAACTTGAGATTGGGTTCCACCAGGTACTAAACGAACTCAGGGATCTCAAGGTGGTCATCTCTAACCTCGCCTCCCAACAACAATCCGACGACACCAGTCATCCAACAGGGGCCGACGCCTCTGTTTCCGGTAGCCAGGGAACTGGGGGTTACCCCGTCGGAAAGGTTACTAAAATCAAATTTCCCAACTATTCCGGTGGAGATCCCATTCCTTGGATCTTCAGAGCAGAGAGATTCTTCGAGTATCATGAAACCCCTGCACACCAGCGCGTCGCCATCGCCTCCATTCACTTAGAAGGAGATGCTATTCTCTGGCTCCAGTGGTATCGACAAACCCATCCTCAGGCAACTTGGGCGGAGTTCACGGAAGCTCTGTGCATCCGTTTTGGGCCGACGGCGTTCGTGGATTACGACGAACTCCTCACTCGACTAAATTAGACCGGGACAGTAGCAGACTACTAGCTCGAGTTCGAAAGAATGGCGACCAGGGTACATGGATGGCCGGAGAAGGCCTTGGTAGGGTGTTTTGTGGGAGGTCTTAGAGAAGACATCCGCCTGGAAGTGAGAGCTCTTTGACCAGCGACAGTCATGGCGGCGGTGGGTATGGCTCGCCTGCAAGAAGAGAAGATTGATAGCATGCGCAGGACCAGCAAGCCATCCTACCCGAATGTGAGGGCTCCCCAGCAGGCCGAACAGCAACCCCTGAAACAAGTTGGGGATTCTCAGAAGCCCATTTTGCCCAGGCCCACTATGCCTTTCAAGCGCCTCTCGTGGGCTGAGATGTAGGCTTGACGTGAGAAGGGCCTCTGTTACAACTGTGATGACAAGTTTGGGCCGGGCCATAAGTGTCGGGTCCAGCGAGTGTTTCTCCTTCAAACAGAGGAAGAACCGAAGGGGACAGAACCAGAGCACATCGAAGACTGTGATGGTTTTGATTGACAGTGGCTCTACTTTGAACTTCATCACTTGTCGTTTGGCAAAGCAACTAGGTATGACTATACACCCCATTCTCTTTTCGATCCATGTGGCTAATGGGAATCAGATGTTATGTGATGGTGTATGTAGGAAGGAAAAGATCCTCATACAGGGCCATAATTTCGCGGTAGATCTCCACCCATTGGAATTCTCGGGGGTTGATATTATTTTGGGAATCCATTGGTTACGTGGCCTAGGTCCAACACTGTGTGATTGGGCCAAAATGACAATGGATTTTTGCCAAGATGGACAGACCTGCCATTTACAAGGGGTGCGGCCCCCTAGTCCCCGAGGTGATACTTTAGCCTCTATAATACGGGCCTCCAAGGATGCTGGACAGACCTTGTTTATGCACTTAGGCATTCGGCCCACGGTTCCAATTTTAAACAATCAGGACTATGACCAACCCACGGAAGCCCAACACAAGGCCCTAAGATCGATACTCGATCAGTTTGGTGACATATTCAAGGAACCGAACTAGTTACCTCCACCCTGGGCCCATGACCATCAGATACCCCTCTTACCAGATTCCAAACCAGCCAATGTGAGGCCATATAGATATCCTTATTTCCAAAAGCTGGAAATTGAGAAGGCGGTAAAAGAGCTATTGGACAATGGGCATATACAGACCAGCACCAACCCGTTTTCATCCCTCGTACTCCTAGTGAAGAAGAAGGATGGTAGTTGGCGTTTTTGCGTAGATTACCGGGCCCTGAATCAGATTACAGTGAAGGACAAGTTCCCGATACCCCTCATTGAGGAACTGCTGGACGAGTTAGGGGAAGCACAAGTGTTCTCCAAACTAGACCTGCGGTTCGGGTATCATCAAATCCGGGTTCACTAGGCTGATATCCACAAGACAGCCTTTAGGACCCACGATGGCCATTATGAGTTTCTGGTTATGCTGTTTGGTCTTACCAACGCCCCCTCCACCTTTCAGGCCCTCATGAATGACATCTTCAGGCCATTCCTAAGGCAATTTATTCTGGTATTTTTCGATGACATTTTGGTTTACAACAAGGATTGGGGCACCCATATGAAACATCTGAAACTTACCCTCACAATTCTGAGAGAGCACCAGTTGCATTCCAAATTGACAAAGTGTTCCTTTGGACAAAGACAGATTCGGTACTTAGGCCATGTGGTTGCTGCAGGGCGGGTCATGGCAGACCTAGAAAAGATAGATGCCATTCGAAAATGGCCCAAGCCCACTACTGTAAAGGCTCTCAGGGGCTTTCTTGGGCTTACCGGTTATTATAGGCGCTTCATTAAGGGGTATGGGCTTATGACTGCCCCTCTAACACGCCTGTTAAAGAAGGATTCTTTTGGGTGGGCTGATGATGCCCGACGGGCCTTTGAAGACTTGAAGACAATAGTTTCTAGCCCTCCAGTCTTCACTCTTCCGGATTTCTCTCAACCCTTTGAGATAGAGTGTGACGCATCGGGTGTCGGAGTGGGGGCCGTCCTGATGCAGAAGGGGCAACCCATTGCTTATTTCAGCAAGGCTCTCTCAGCAACTCACCAAAACCAGTCCACCTATGTCAAGGAACTGATGGCCGTGGTAATGGTAATACAAAAATGGCGTACATACCTATTGGGACGCCAATTTATCATAAGGACAGACCAACGAAGTTTGAAGTACATAGCAGAACAAAGGGTGCACACCYCGGAGCAGCAAAAATGGCTTAGTAAACTAATGGGATTCGACTACCACATCGAGTATAAACCTGGGCCTGCCAACAAAGTAGCTGATGCCTTATCACGGGTAGAAGAACTGGCCCAACTAACCTGCTCCCATCCTAGTTTTCCCTTGTTTGAAGCTATACGGCAAGAAGCCAAATTTGATCCGCAGCTGCAAGACATCAGGGAAAAGTGGAAACGTGACCCTTCTCAAGTTCCAGGTTACCAAATTGTGGGACCTGATCTTTTCTTCAAGGGCAGGTTTGTGGTTGCTCCAAATTCCACCCACAAAACTGAACTGCTAAGGTTGTTTCATGATTCCGCATTGGGAGGACATTCAGGGGTGCTACGGACCCTAAAAAGACTCAACAGCCACTACCATTGGGTAGGAATGCGCAAGGATGTGTTGCACTATGTATCTGAATGCCAAACTTGCCAACAGTAGAAATACTCCTCATAGTCACCCGCGGGCCTTCTACAACTCCTCAAGATTCCAGAGCAAGTGTGGGAAGACCTCTCCATGGATTTCATCACGGGACTTCCTCGTTCTGTAGGGAAAGAGGTCATCATGGTAGTGGTTGACCGTCTCACAAAGTATAGCCATTTCTCTGCTTTGCCTCACCCTTACACTGCAGCAATGGTGGCCGACATCTTCATATAGGACGTGGCAAAACTGCATGGAACACCAAGATCCATTGTCTCGGACCGTGACCCTGGCTTCCTAAGTTCATTCTGGAAGGAGTACTTCCGATTGCAAGGAACCCAACTACACCCATCCACTAGCTATCACCCGCAAACTGATGGAYAGACTGAAGTCATTAATCGATGCTTAGAAGCCTACCTTAGATGCTTCATAGGGGAGAAGCCTAGACAATGGGCYCAYTRGCTTCCGTGGGCAGAATACTGGTACAACTCAACTTATCAGTCAGTTGCAGGAATGACACC